AAGCTGACGAACAACGAGGCGGAATATGAAGCTCTGGCTGGAGGGCTCAGACTTGCCCAAGCCCTGAAAATCAGCCGGGTCAGTATCAAATCTGACTCTAGCCTGATAGTAGGGCAGGTGACCGGTAACATGGAAGCAAGGGAAGGACGCATGGCACAATACAAGGACCTTGTACTTGCCCTGTTGAAAGGCTTCGAAGGATTCAAGATCGCCCAGATTCCCCGGGCGGAGAACGCGGATGCAGACCTTCTCTCCAAATTGACGCAGTATGCTCCCGAACACGTTTCGAAACTTTCCCGGGTAGAGATCCTTGACCGTGCAAGCATCGAGAAATTGGAAGTCGCCGCTATAACTGCCGGAAGCCAGTTTGACCGGTCAAACTTGGTCGGGGCGGACGACCATTGGATGTGTGATCTGATGGAATATCTGACGGATGGGAGCTTGCCAGAACAAGATGACCGGGCAAGGAAAGTGAAGCTCAGGGCACCCCGATTCTAGATTCTCGATGGAAAGCTATATAAAAGGGCATTTGGGGGGCCACTCCTGAGATGTCTAACCAACCGGGAAGCTGAGCGAGTCATAGCGGAAGTCCACGAAGGCATATGCGCGGCGCATCAAATGTCCCGTACGCTTTCCCAGCGCATCATCTTGTTGGGATATTACTGGCCAACAATTGTCCAGGATTGTGAAAGATACGTCCAGAAATGCAGGACGTGCCAAGTATTCTATAAGCATCCCGGTAGACCGGCGACCTATTACCACCCCGTATCGAATGTCATCCCGTTCGCTAGATTCGGGGTTGATATCATTGGAGCCTTCCCAGTTGCCCAAGGAGGGAAGAAGTTTGTAATCGTAGCCATCGATTACTTCACCAAGTGGATCGAGGCCGAAGCATTGGCCAGCATTACCACGCAACAATGCAAGAAATTCATTTGGAAGAACATCATCACAAGGTTTGGAGCGCCCATGAACCTCATCACCGACAACGGCCCACAATTCCGAAATCCAAGATTCACTGACTACTTGGAAGGCTTCGGGATCAAGCACAATCGTTCCTCGGTAGCGTACCCCCAAGGGAATGGCCAAGTCGAAAACGCCAACCGAACGATTGTGGATGGTCTAAAGAAACGGCTGGGAGAAGCAGGAAGCAAGTGGCTGGAAGAGCTCCCACACATCGTATGGGCATTCCGAGTAACACCCAGGAGGGCTCACGGGGAAA